TACGCATATAAAAACTAAACCTATATTGTTTAATTCTTACTTACATAGTTTTAAATTTTAATCATACATTACGAAATACAAATGTCAACAGACATTAAAAATGACATTTGGTTCATGATTTGCTAATAAGTGCCATCTTACAATGCTAAAACGAAACATTTTCGATTAGCCGCTGCTAACTGCTAGCGCTGCTATGCAGCCAGAGCGGCGGTATGCACAATCACTCTCTGTTTATAGTCTAAGATCCCACTGTAGGATTGGTGCGGTCATCACTTATTTGTTTAAAAACAAATTTTTATATTTATTTATAGTTAGGAGAACATAATATATTTACTAAGTTGCCTATCAAAATTTGGCCGCCATAATTTTTAATTTATTTTTTTGGAAAAATTCCGTTCATTTATTTATTAAATAAAGAAAACTATACATGACAGTAATTTATATGAAGATTCTAAAAAATCATGGTTGCCATTACGCACCTAGCCGCAACTCTTCGCAGCCAGGGTGTGTTCGCAAAAATTAACCTAGTAATTATAATATGTTCTCCTAACTATAAATAAATATAAAAATTTGGTTTTAAACAATTAACCTATGAACGCAGCAATCCTGCAGTGGGATCTCGGACTATTATTATCCATACAAAACGTGTCAAGGACGATCTACAAATCTCGTGTATGTCTACAGGAAATGTTTGTATGCGTGTGTGTAAAACTAACACATGCATAGTGTTTGGAAAGCATTGATTTAAATTTTGAATTGTTTGTAGAAAGTCCGTTAATTGTCAAACGAGACGGGGCTCTCTGATTGGTCGGTAATCTGGTTATACTTTTGTCGCCATTTTATTATTATGCAATATTGTCATTTGTTTTTCTAAGCACAAGTGAATACGTTTTAATTAGTAAACAGTGGATTAATTTATTAACGAATTATGGAAAATTATAGCTGTGATTTCTGTGCTTGTGATGTGTTTAATGAAATTAGTAACGTGTGTGTACATTTTCAATATTGACGTTTGGTAATAAAATAAGTGTAAAGTCAAGGTGTGTGAGCTGTTGTGACCAGTTGAGATTGAACTAAAAGAAAGGTAATGTTATTCGTTTTAATAAAAAGTATTATGATAGTTTTAATTAGTTAGCAGGTTGTGTACACCCAAATAAATTATTTTGTTTGCCTTGTTTGTTTTTTTCAAAAGATTGTAATAAGAATGTTTGAAAATGGAACTCCGCTGGATATTCCTATTTAAATAACTTTTATAAAGCTGTGATGAACAGATCATAAAGTATATATGTACTAGATGTTCGTTCTGATCGGACTGTTGTAACATTATTCGCGAAGATTATAAATGTTTTAATGAGATTAATATTTTCTGATTACTTCTCGTATTTTATTATGTTAAAAACTACATACTCCCGACCTTTCGATGACTTTGCAGCAACCGTGATCACGGCAGACATCTCGTCTGCCCGTTAAAAAAATAACAATATTAGTTTATTTTGACTAAATAGTTTTCAAGACCGTAAGAAGATTAGTTTAATTATCAATTTAATTGGTCTCTAGTACATATTGTGGAAAATGAGATTTTGTTACCATTTATAACAATAACTTCTAATTCAAATATCATTCCGTATAAGGGTCCGAAATATATAAACTGCAATAAATATTTCTAAGGGATTGCTATAAAGATTCAACTGAAACTTGAAATAATAATCAAAAAAAACAAACTGAAAACACCGTCCGCTATGTTTCTAAGTCACAATATTGTAAACAACGTAATATCAAACTCTATTTCAGGTTATTCGTGGTCTTTCATTTATACCCCTTGATAATTATTTATACCACGTAAAAAGAATAAAAGATTGTTAGATGGAGTATACTCTCTTCTTGACAACATCCTCATCATTTGTTACCAAACGCTTGCGTTTTCTCTCCTTTTGACAACTAAATCGAGTTGGAACACAATTAGTTTTCATTCTGATTCTTTTATCTGAACCCATGATTTTATATTGTTTATAATTTTCCATGTCACTTTCAAGCAGAAATAAAAACAGAACCAATGTTAACACGTGGGCAATTGACTACGCATAGTCGCTTACTGAAACTTTATTTAGAAAGAAAAAATATTAATACATTATAGTTTAAAGTGAAAATTACAAAAAAATATTTGGTGTAAGTTTCTTTAATTTTCATTGAAGTGATCTTCACAGAAATACACCACTGTTCGGCTGACAGACTTACAGGATCTCTTTTAGCTAGTTGTAATCAGGTATTACACATATTCTCAACACTGGGTACTTTAATCCACAACTTTTCTGAGTTCTTTATTGATGCATTCTTTCTTACATTACCGCACTATACAATAGTGATAACTACTATATTTTATCATGTAATCCTTGTGAAGCCATGGTTTTGAATTCGGATAAACAGGTTAAGATAGTCACTTTTATTGTTTACAAGAATATTACGTCACGGCACAGATAATTAGTAGACCATCATGGCGGACGGCGTTTATGACTGCATAGCGAAAATATATTTGAAAATTTAAAGTTTTTTAGAATAGGTGTTTCAAAAAAAATTATATTTTTTTATGGCATAATATAATCGTAATGTACCGTTCTATGAAATAATAAAAATATTTACTTTCAGATGAATATTGTTCGTCACGACATCGTTTACAACGTAAGTACATTTTTATACACTTATCGCCTGAAGAAAAGTTTTTTCACAGTAAATATTGCATAGTGCATTTATTCGTAGGTTTTCTCGTTAAGGATTTTAGTAGGAATTTATATTGTAGAAGTAATGAAAACAATTAAGAGATTACCTTTAATGATCGTTTGGTTTAATTTATGCCAACACAAGAGGCAGAGGTTCTTGAGGATTTATGCTATTTATGCATTCAACATTTCTTCGTACTTGTCAAACTTTTTAATTAAATTTTAATACCTTATCGAATTATTCGTTTGAAAATTCATGAAAAATATTTTTCTGCGCAAATTTTCCATAACTGATGTTATTTATTTAATCCACGTTTACCATTAAATATTGAACACATTCAACTATCCCTACTAATATTATAAATGCCTAAGTGGCTCTGTCTGTCTGTCTGTCTGTTACGCTTTCACGCCTAAACCACTGAACTGATTTTAATGAAATTTGGTACAGAGATGGAGTTGACCTTGTAAAAGAACATAGGATAGTTTTTATCCCAGACTTTTGAAAGGTTATCTTGGAAACGCGATATAACCGAACTCCACGCCAGCGAAGCTGCGGGCGGAAGCTAGTCTTCATATATTTCTGTCGCAACGAAAATTATTTCATATCAATCGTTTTTCAGTTATAGTAATCATTTATTGCACCACGCTTTATAATGTTACATTTTATTTTAATATCAACATAACATTTAACTATAAAATTTTAATCTAGTATAGAATTGTATTAGTTTCAAGAATCCGATGATATTTCACCTAGTTTGTGTGCTAAATAGGACAGCGTATTGAAATTAATTACTACTTTCGGGGAAGGTGATCAAAACATGCAAAACCAAGTGATTCACAAAAATTTGTTTGTGATTAAGTGAAAATTGGTAATACTATTATAAAATATTTATCTTAATATTATGTATATCCAATTGTTTTTCATTGTAGAAGTCTGTATTTCATAACTATATTCGCTGTCTCTGTTATGCTCGTTTATTATTTAAAGAATCCGAAATTATGAAACTACCTACTGAAAAAATTTGCTAAATAAGAATATCACCCACAGCTATAATTATTTCATATTTTATATCTTAATCAATAATCAGTATAATGTATAAAAATAATATAATTTCTTTCAAATATTTTATTTTAATTTATTGATTATAAATTTCAATTAAAAAGTCAGTGGTGGCTCAGTGGTTAAAGGGCCTGCCTCTCGTCGCCGAGGGTGCGGGTTCGATCCTGGCCCGGGCAAGTACCAATGTGATTTTTCTGAATCATATGTATTAGTATAGTTATTAGACTTATGTAGGTATTACAACAATTTTAATGCAAACAATCTTCAAATATCTAAAAAATAATAACATATATTTTATAGTATTTTCATATATAAATTAACGTGTTTTTGAATTCCTTAAATGTGTATGGAATTTTCTTCTATTTATGGTCGTTTTAAATAATGCTAGAAGTTATTGTTGTGAGTAAAGACAGTACTTTTATAAGGTATTCTTAACATTATGAATGTCACTGAGGACATATTTATATGTAAAGTCATGCATGCCCTTTGCTAAAGCGAATGATTGGTTAAAATATAAAGATTAAATGGAGAAGAAATACCGAGAACTATTTTTGTAAATTTTTACGTATGTTCATGATTAAAAATATTTATAAAGGTTGCCTGGAAGAGATCGATGTTTTAGCGATAAGGCCGCCTATTTGTACATTTTCCTTTCTTTGTTTTTCTCTTGTTATTTCTGTCTATATTGGTGTACATTAAAGAGTAAATAAATAAATAAACATACTCGTACGTCAACGGTTTGACCTTTTGGGTACTATAAAAAAAATCTTTAAAATTATCTGCCTTCATAGTCTTAAATCCATACTCGGATTGTTAAATCTAATATGAGACGAAACTTCTCAGCAATGCCTGGGACTTGCGACCCAGGTGTAGGTTTAAGGGGCCCCTTAACTATCGCGCGGTATACGCTCACCTCCACTGGCCAAGCTCCTCTCCCTACCTAACCAAATTTGAAAAGAACCTACTAGGGCTGCCTTCGATGTACGTTCCAAGAATGCATTAATGTGAGTTCTGGACAAGCCCAAGTCCTTTAGTAGGTTATAGAGAGATTTCGCTGTTATACCTCTCGCTCCCACCTCCACCGCGTACAAATCTACTACGAACCTATTTCGAGTGAGTTCGTTTGTGAGCTCGTAATATTTGTTGACCTTGATGGTATGGTCTTTGGGGATGTTGGTTTCCCAAGGGACCGTAAGCTTTATCATCACTACGCGCTTTAAAATTCGCTAAAACAAAAATATATCCGGTCTGGAGGCCGACGCACAAATGTCCTCGGGGATTTTATACTGTTTTTCATACGTGTCCATCATTATAGTCCAATCCGACGCCGCTTTAAGGATGGAGTAAGGCTTGACGTTTGATTTTGTAGCCCTAGTGCCTTCTCTCACAAAACCTACTGATCGTTCGTTTGTGGTAATTTCCTTTTGCGCTCTGGCTACCGAAAGACTAACCGCTTCACGTATGACTTCTAAAACCCTATCGTGACGACGCGAGTATTGACCGCTGTCCAGGAGTACCCTACATCCCACCAGCAGATGTTTAGCAGTTCCAACTGCCTTTCCACAGATATAGCAAGTTTTTTCGGTACTTTTACCCCATCTTACTAAATTACTCTGATCTGGGAGAGTCATCTGGAACGCATTGAGATAGAATTTTAGCAATGCTGGCGACCAATCGTAAATTAAAGTGCGCCATTTTAATGCTAATGGGATGCAAAAATCTCCTATGTCTAACCACTCGTTCTGCATTTCTAAATTCATTGCATGGATCTTATATTTATCATTCTCGTCTTGCCGAATAAAAGACTTCAATATATCCGCATCTTGGACTTTCCTATTTGATCCTAACCCCACTCTGTTACTTTGTGCTCCTATCATAAATTGCTTATGGAATTGAAGTCGTGACTCTAGCTCGGGGGCATCTTCATCTTTTGGGAGCGATGTCACTACGTCATCATGGGATTTCCCCAACATATATCTCTTGGAAACTCTTAGGTGTTTATAGAGCTCCGATGGCCTTTTTAGACTCATCCCAAAACTATTGCTTCCCCTGAATAACGCCGATGAATCAGCCGTTAGAGCGAGCCCGAGCCACAACTTGGACATCTTTATGACGCCTGCATCTAACTTTGACAAAGGGTTTTATTAAAATCATAGACGAGGAAAGGCCAATTCAAACGTGAAGTTAAGTAATTCTCGTAGATCCATGCTTTTTTGACGTTACTGATCAGTTGGCTATCTACCTTGTTAAGATCGTTCAAAAAGCTATCTACTATTCCTTCTAAAGATGAAGTACGGCCTATATTATCAATCTTACGACCGAGAAATTTAAATGGTGCATTTTCCGTAACCGTAGAAATGCATTGACCGCCTAACGATAGTCCCGGATCGTATGAGGTGTATCTTGTATTCCGCCTACCAAGACACAGACAGTGACATTTACTGGGTTTTGTCCTCAATCCATCCGTCCACTCACAGAATTTATCCACTTCATCCAATAGTACTTGACAGTGTTTGGGGTTACGTGTCAGTATTGCGAGATCGTCAGCGAAGGCTAAAATGGATTCCGTGTATTTATTATTAAACTTAAACCGATAACCCCATTTTTTCTCGTTACAGATTAATTTGTCTACTAAGATGTTAATAACGATATTAAACGCAATTGGAGATAGACAACAACCTTCAAACAGTCCTACATTATAACTCAAACTTTTTGAAGGGCCTTCTTTAGTTATTATAGAAAACCTTAATTTTGAGTAATACGACGCGATCATATCACTAACTAGGGGTGGAAAGTTGTACCATCTAAGCGCGAATAGCATCAATTCGTGTTGTATCGACCCGAACGCGTTCTCCAAGTCTATCCAACAAACAGTGATTTGCCGCTCGCCCTTTCTAGCATCTTTCAAACTCTCCGACAGCAAGGTGTTGTGTTCTAGACATCCAGAAATCCCGGGTAGAAACCCTTTCTGGTGATTTGGCCTAAAATAGTTGTTGCTGAGCATGAATCGCGTCATTCTCGTTTGTAGAACCGAGAAAAAGATTTTCGATATAGTATTTGTTAAAGCTATCGGTCTAGTATCTTTCGGATCAGTTACTCGATCTTTTTTGGGAATGAGGACAAAAATTGCTTTCCCGAAACACTCCGGGATTTGCTTCCTTGACCAGATTTTACCGTATATATTTAGGAGGTGTTTACGAACCGATGGACATTTTTTAATATTAATGAATTCTATAATATTATATGGTTTCATATTTTTATATACACATACGTTATAATATAAAATATAACAATGGTACTTTATTATTAACGAGTTATTTATATTTGAGTTAATACTATTGTTCATTTCATTAAATACTATTTCATAACATTGTCAGGTTCTTATGATAACATTCATGAAAAGAACTTTGTCTTCAATAGTTTATTTCATAATTGATCGTTAGTTATTTTGTTCTTCTTTACATGTTGCTAGTTGTTATAAAGTAAAACCAAGTCACTTGAACTTGATTGCCATAGGAAAACTCCGTTCTTGTTCAAGAAGATATCTTTACATTATTAATAAAGTGCGACGTTGAGAAATTGCTTTGAACCACTATCACTATGATGTATGGACGTGATAGGTTCAAGTACAATTCAAGTAAATTATGTAGATTATTTTTATTTCTTTAATTAAAATTTCGAAGCTAATGTGATAGAAAAGTTCGTATAGTAATTTTTATTTTAAATAAGATCTTTCAATAGGCGAAATAAATTATTTCGATGAATATCTTAAGCGTCCTGGTTAAGCAAAGGGAAACAAAACGAGAAGTTTCATGAGTGAGTCTCAATATAAATAAAATACAATAAAAATATTTTTGATGCCTACTTAGAAGTAAACGGTTAATCGAACTACATAAGTAACATAAGTAACACTTTTTCTATACATTGTCAATTATATCACAGTAATTAAAAACGTTTCATAGAATACTTAATATAATCTCTTTAATCACATCATTCTTAAAAATCTTTTTAATCGATTAAGATTGTTGGACAAAATTCGATTCTTTAATTCAAAACTAATGCAATGTTTCGTTTTCGTTGTATTACTTTAGAGAAAGTTTATTTTTCTTTTCCTATGTCAAAAACGAAATAACAATAAAATTGAGTAGATAAATCAGTGACACTTTGTTAGAAATATTAAAATGAAATAACGCCTTTAATGTTATACGCGACACATGTCCTTGGGCACGATAAAAGAAGTCAATATACATTGTTAGTTCCATCTTTAGAAGATTCTGAAAATTTTCATAATTTTAATTTATAAAAATTTCTGTTTATTCGATATTTTTCAATACAAACTATATCGTAAAAAAATTTTTCGTAACTCTTGTTATTTTAAGACTTGAGTGATAATTATTCAATAGAAGTATTGGGTTCAAGTCGTTAGTTTCAAGTCATTCATTTTATACGGCGAAAAGAATTACATCGTTAATATAAGAAATATATGAGACATAAACTTTCTACTGTTAAATTACATTTAAAATTAACTATTGTTCATGATACAATTATTTAATTAATCATTGTAAATATATTAAGGAACTGTAATAATTGATTTTAAGAGTTCAGTTTTTTCCCACTCCTGTCAGATTTGCGGACGATCTGCTTTACAAAGCCGAGGAAGTCACTACAGTCCTAAAATTGTTGCTACTTAATTATGTTGTCATATGAAAGCTTGTTTAAAGAATTCGGACGTTAAGTATCCCTACTAATATTGTAAATGTTAAAGTAGCTCTGTCTGTCTGTCTCTCTGTTACGCTTTCACGCCTAAACCACTGAACTGATTTTCATGAAATTTGGTACAAAGATAGAGTTGACTTTGAGAAAGAACATGGGATAGTTTTTATCCCAGACTTTTGAAAGGTTCTCTTGAAAACACGATATAAGGGAACTCCAAGCGGGCGAAGCTGCGGGCGGAAAGCTAGTTGTATTATAAAATCTATTATTTACTTATTTGAATTGATATTTTGTAATTTAAACAGAAACAAATAGGCAAAAAGCCATAGAAAACCTTTTTATAATTTTTTTTTTAACAAAAATTGTCAATATATTCATCGTTAAATTACCTACATAGAGTTCTGAATCACAAATTTATTATAATAAAAATGCCATGACGCTTGAGATACTACTTTAATGAGATAGTTTTTTAAGGATCCGCTGAATTACCTTTTATGTTTTATGCTCTTTAGTTACGTTCTCTTATGTAGTCTGATTTTATAGAATAAATAACTTTTTATTAAACTCGTTAGCGGGAAGATGAGATGAAATTCATTTTTAAAATACTTTCTCAATAATAAATCAACCTTTAAAATATTTGTTATAGTATTGAAATAAATTATACATAATTTTTATTTCTGCATCCAATTGTTTTTTTTTATGAAATTTAATAACCAAGTTGTTTAACTTTTGAAGGGAGAACTACAACATACTTTTGTTTTAATTCAATTAAGCTTATTTCTTCTTTTTCATTACATTTAATTCCATTTGTTTGTAATCAATTGTTCGCTGACATTTCCAATTTTTGAATATCATTCCAAAGCTATATTACGTAGTTTCATACATGTGACTTTGGCCAATAATTTTTTCATGAATTATTTAAAATTTCTATTTTAATTATTACATTATTGTATAAAAATGAAAAATCTTACCCTAGTTAATAAAAAAACAGGTCAAAATTAATTACACCTACTTTTTAAAAAACCCATATTCGAAACCACCATTTTTTTAATGTAAACAAGTAATATATATTTTTTCGGAATATTATTTAGATTTTTATCACTTTAACATATGTAATATTGTATTTTATTTCTAACATTAACATTAATCATGATTATTTTCATAATATTTTAATTTATCATTTGAAATTCAAACTTATGGTTATATGTGATAGAACCTAAATCATCTGAGTTTCAATTTACATTACATAATAATACGTTTGGGACGAGAAAAGAAACTGTTAATCTTATCTTTTAATAAGTGAGTAAGTTTAATAAATAGTTAGTCGACGTTAAGGGGACATTTCTAAGCTTCTCAATTTACGCGAAAGTCACTATATTGAAGGCTATAAAGAAGGGTACTACTTCTAGATGTTCACGTTAACTGAACCGTTTCAATTTATGGCCTTGGAATCTGACTGCCACGTCCGTTTTAAAAATATTTTTCTTAATACTTTTCTTTACTTTTAAATATTAAATGAGATATTCATACATATTTTACTCAATCTTTATCTATCTATATATTGATATCTTTCTATATATACAGGTGACTGGTGAATTACTATCAATATTTAAGGAGAATACTCGGTACATGATTCTCATTCGAATTATGTAAAAAAAATAGGCACTTAATTTTTGACAAAATTTCCGTATAAATAAATAAAGTGTTGACACGTTCCAAGTGTTCCAAGTGTGGACGCGTGCGGCGGCGTGCTGATACAACACCACGCCCCGCTCGCTTATGTGTGAGTGTGAGTGTATACCTAATCTGTAGGGTGTTCATACGATGCGTAATTAATTACATAACTTTTGGTTAACTTTACTTAGAAGTTTATTAATATTTATGTTATATTAATTTTTATTTTGTCATATATGATCGTCAAATATCACGTCCTCAAGTATCGATAGTAATTCACCAGTCACCCTGTATATACACCCGACGTTTCGGTTACTTGTCAGCAACCATGATTAAGGCAGACGAGTTGTCGGGAGTGTGGTGTTTTTAAAAATAATAAAATACGCAAAGTATTCCGAAAATATTACTTTCATTGAAATTAATACTCGCAAGTCTTAAATCTATACTAATATTATAAAGCTGCAGAGTTTGTTTGTTTGTTTGTTTGTTTGTTTGTTTGTTTGTTTGTTTGTTTATTTGAAAGCGCTAATCTCTGAAACTACTGGTTCGAATTGAATAATTCTTTTTGTGCTGGATAGTCCAGTTATCGAGGAAGGCTGTAGGCTATATAACATCACGCTACGACGAATAGGAGCAAAGATATAGTGGTAAATGTGTAAAAAACGGGAGAAATTATTGCATCTTTGAAGCCTTCCGTTGCGTGCGCCGTGAAAACGGTTCAAGATACAAAAAAAATATGTATTAAAGAATAATAGCTCTTTTAATGATCTAAAAAACACTCCGCGACAGTATATGTCTATCTTTTAAGATTAACTCACAAAAACCGTTTTTATGGTACCTAATTTGGTCGAAATAATTTGTTTAAGTTGTATCAAGATAATAATATTAATCTTTATTCAAATAAACAAATAAATATGTTGTTGGTTAAGAGTACTTCATTGTGAATAAAAAAAACATAGGTTTTTTATGCTGAAAATTCTACGGGAACTCTACCATTCCGAAAACCCCGCAAGAACGGGAACTATGTGGGAAGAACCAAAAATCTGCCGGAAGTCACTATTCCACGCGGACGTAGTCGCGGCAAAAGCTAGTCTACTATATAAAAATAAGTGCGGTTTTCCTTCCTGACGCTATAACTCCAGAACGAACGAACCGAATTCCACGATTTTGCATTCGTTTGCATATTTTAAGTAGATGGTGCCAGTGCATGATACATTGTTTGAAGGCTACTCATTGTTTTCTGCTCAGGTAATTTCATGTGACAAACCGGTATTGTGTTTGTAGTTTAAACTCTTAAAACCATTTAGTATTTGCGGGATAAATTTAGAAAATCATTGTTTTTCACATGGGCAGTTATACTTTGCGTGTTCAGGAGTTCGGAAACCATCCGCTTTATTTGTGTTAACGTTAGACCAAAAAACAAAAAATGTGGTTTACAAAGGACCACTTCAATGTAACGGATAATTTGCTGACACGTATAACGCTTCGATTCTACGGTATCTACTTTGGATTCACTTTTATTTACTTAGAGAAGTTCAACTAAATAACACTACATTTCTGTAATCGAAATGAATTCATTACTGTTGTGAAACGAAATTAAAATTTTCCTTTTCAAATATAAAACAATAA